TACATAATAATCTTAAAAAGTAGAAGAGGATTACAATTGCAAAATGTTTCAAATAATATGAACTCTTTTAAAAGAGGAATTGTGTTATAGTGTGGCTTAAAATAATTAGTATTATTATCGAACAGTTGTTAAATAGTGTACGTGTTGATAAAAAAAAAAAATCTTAAACTCTTTGATTCCAGGTAAGGAAAAATGAGCATCATTAAAGTTAAGAATTAAGAGTTTGTAAGTCTGACACAAATAATTTATTTTATATACTAAAATCTTAATTATCACCAATGAAACACAAAGAAAATTAGAAACATAATATCATATGAATGACCTTGTTTTAGTACCTGCAGTATACTGTATCAAATAAACATTTACAATTTTCATCACATCGGAGCACCATTTGAAAAAAGAATGATTTGCTGAATAAAATTTTTTTTCTATTTGCCCATGTTGTCAAAATTACAATTTTACAGAGTAAAGAAAAATCAACATAATCAAATATTTCAGACCATCTTTAAAATGACGTTTGGTGGTCCTACCAACTCATGAAAATTATTTGGTTCGTATTTATAGGTGAGAAATTTTTTTCCTTAAAATTTCAACATATTTGTTGACGGAATAAAAAGAAAAGATACCGTGTAATGGGATGTAAAAAATTTAAGTCGGGTCATTTCTAAGCAGTAGGTCGGGAGAGAGGGCAACCAAATATTTTTGTAAAAGTGGTCTTAACAATATAAGTCTAGTACTTGTTCCATGCATACTTAGTGACGCAAGATTTCTGAAGCTTTGGCACTATTTTGAAAAACAAACATAGGATTTTCAAGGGGGGGGGGGGGTGTGTTAGCCTCCCACTTTTTTTTGCGAAGATAGATATAGCATAGACAATGGACCTGTCTTTGCAATCATTGTGCTCTTTTAAATTTCAAAGAAACAACTCAGTATATTTTATCAAATTTCGTATGTTGGTGAGAGCTTACAATGAAGCGCATTGAAGTGGTAAAATTTTCCGTTTGAATGGAACGTTTTGAACTATCTTTAGAACGTTGATTGTCATACAAAGACACGCCCATTTCTTTAGAAAGGAAAAATCGATCGAGTGGTTCATTCGAATACCTGTAGTACAAGTATATTCTATATTTATAATAGCCAATCAAATGCACAGTCTTCATAAACACAGAGTAAGCACGTGTTCGACAAATACATGTGTTATGAAAACTCCAATATATAAATTCATAATTATGTACGAATTCGATGCAATACGTGTTTTACAAAGATGGAACTCTCTAAATCTCTCATAACTTTAAAAATCCCATTTCGGTGTAACTCATGTTGCTTGTCGCAAAAAGTGGGGTGTCCCAAAGCATTATGACAATTGTTTCTTGTTCGTTTGTAAAGAAATGGGCGTGTCATTTTGTTATAATTGACGTTCAAAATATGATTCAGAACGTTTCATCCAAACGGAAAATTTTACAACGTCAATGCGTTTCATTGTACAACTTTTTCAACATAATGAGACATGATGTGTTTTTGTGTCCAAATTTTACTCCATACAGTGTGTGGGCCAACGCAAACAATCTAGCTTTTTAGGAAATCCTATAACTGACTATTTTTTTTCTATCTAACTGCTAAACAAGTTGGACATATGTACCAACTTTTTGAATGTAATGCATGTAATTACAATTTGTTTTTCATGCACCGCACCGCACATTTTTTAACATTTTCAAATTAAAAGCTAAGCATCCTCATTGCAAAGACCCATTTGAAAATAACTTCTATCGCCACAGAAAAGAGACCCACCGTAAACACATATATTAAGGACATTTTCTGTCTTTTTTCTTGAGTTTTAAAGATACGAACAAGTTATTAAGACTTGTTCCATGAAAATTTGAATATAATCATGGTAATAAACGCATCTATCCACAGCCGATATGCACATGCCAACCACATGCTCAGTGGAATAATATGATCGAGGAAACTCGAGCGATAAACAGAACAGTTTTTCCCGATTTGCTGGAGTGGGGTTAAAATCGCGTTTTTTTTCACAGATCAGACGATGCGATGCAACAAATAAAAGTAATAAATTATATAACCTAAGGATGTTTACTTATAAATTTCTTGTCTTGATGTTGTTATGGTCGCATTTATTCTAATATCAATGTTATTTGAACTCTGTGTGACAGAGGAATGGCGGACGTAATGAACACATGGCCTCTGGAAGACCCCCATATGAAAAATCAAATTTTCTAGAATTATGGATAATGACAAGAAAAAAGCGAAACAAATGGTTGTAGCCATATTATCAAGGTACCGAACTGACATCATTTTCAATACATTCTTCATCTCATGAATGCTGTACCTGCGCAATTCTAACATGATTAATTTCCTTCTAATTAAAACAAAATAAACTTAATTGTTTACTAATTAATTTTGGTCTCTAACAGTAGGTAATGAGTGCATTAGCATTTTGAGTAACTTCGGACTAGTTTGGTAGTGTATTAAGCGCATTCTTCGTATTTCTTATTTTACACCAGACTAGATCCAATATGGTTTGTACATCCCCCTTAAGTCAGTCAAAATAAATCTATTTAATATTATTTTATTTGACAGTAAAATTTATTTAGAATTAAATAGTTGTTAAATCAATCTGTGACACATCACCGCATATCTTCTGTATATCTGCTTGAATTAATTAAATGTTTTAATTATCTTTTATTCATTTAATATCAATATTTAGACTTTTTTGATTTTATTATTTTTATAATTTTGATCATCTGGGACCCGTTTTACAAAAGGACTTACGACTTGAGACCAAATTTAATTCTTCATATAACTTTTTAGTTATCTATCTATCGAAAAATATTTTTAACTTTTTTAAATTAATTTGGTAAGATACTTTTACACAACAGTGCGACATTTAACTCCGGACACGACATAGTCCGGACTTTTTACTACCATTTCCAATTGCGATATCAAAAAAACATTAATATTACTTGGTGGGATTTTCTAGCAGTAGCACATAATCTCATGTTGAACTCACAAGCTTATCTAGTTTAAGAAATATTAAGTCCCAAATATCAAAATCCCATGGGAGAATGGTGGGATTTTCAGTCCCACCAATTATCCCACCATTATCCCATGGGAGAAAAAATCTCAGATGGGAGAAAAAATCTCAGATGGGAGAAAAAATCTCAGATGGGATTTTTTCTCCCATCTGAGATTTTTTCTCCCATGAAATTGTAATCATGGGATAAATCCCACGAACACTCATCAGTGGGATATTTTCTCCCACATACTGTCATGCATAGGATTTATCCCATTAAGTCCACTGTATGGGATATTTTCTCCCATCAATACTTGAATGTGGGATAAATAAGCCTTGCCAATGAAAAATATTACATAAATCCCCCTATTTATTATATTAATAAATCATGTATGCTACAGATATTTCTGCCAGTATTTAAGAATGATACCCACAAATAACACACTTTAACTTATTAAGGGAGGGTCAGTGATTCTTTTTGATTTTGACAAACTTGCTGAGTTCAACATATAGGATGACCACTATTATAGTAATCACTTTAAGATAATCATTAGCCTAACAAACCACACAATATAATTTTATTCCAATAAGCCTTAACGTTGCAGTTTGTATTTGTATTTTGTTTTCATAAGTTCATACCATTCATAACTGTTTTGCATCTCTGTTTATGATCAAGAAAATAAAAGACTCTTAGTACTAGTAAATGATAAGGAAAATGGAGAGTACAGGAAGTTTCAACTATGCTCTACCAGATTTCATCCGCTGCATGAAAATCAGTTTACTATTTCTTTATCTTTAATTATTACTAATATACAATTACATGTTGCAGCAGTTTGAATTTCCTCTGGTCTAGATTTCATTTATCTTTGTGCCCAGTCCAGCAAGTTTGTTTTTCCCCCTAAGCGCTGTTTCAAATTAAGAAAAGTAAAATCATAAAACAGATGCTTTTTTTTGGTTACTGTCACAATGATAACAGCAATAACATACGCCATACGGTTAATCATTCCCAGTTAATGCTGCAACTGTCCTGACCACAACCACAGGTCTTCATTTTTTAGAATTTCGAACCCGATCGAATTTTAAAAAATATTCAAGTATTCAAATGATGCTAAGTAAATTCAGGACAGGGTTTATATATATATGTATATATATATATATATATATATATATATATATATATATATATATATATATATATATATATATATATATATATATATATATATATATATATATATATATATTCTTTAAGTGTCAATATAAGTATAGTACTGTTGAAGTAAACAATAATGAATAAAACATGTTTTAATTGTGTAAACAGTGTATTTTTGCTTGCTAAAGGGGAAATTACATTTCTTCTAGCATGTAAATATGTCATAAGAAATTGAAAATATTGTGCTGAAGAATACTTATAAAAATCCTAAATGCTCAACTCTGGCCTAAAAAGAATGGACTTTGTGTAAAACAATTTCTAGTCATTTTTAACTACAGAACCCGATAAAATTTAATGTATGCTTTATTATTTTTTTGTTGTTGTAACGTTGCAGTTTTGTGTATTGAGCATTCAATTTTTTAATCTTGTAAATCTGTTTCTTTTTTCAAATTTAAATAATGATTGATTGCCTTTTCCTTACTTATGATGAAAAATTTGAGTTTGACACTAGGTACAGTCTGTGCTAAAGAACTCTTTCCTATATAGTCATAGACGTCCAGCTTTAATTTGACTTTGTAATAAACAATATACCAAGGGTACTCCAAAAAATAACATTTTACTCCATAGAATTGGAACTGGGGGAATTAGCCCTGTTACTTTACTTGCAAAGATAGTCATTATATAGGCATGATAATTGGGGGGTTACCTTATTGTGTTGGTTTAACCTAGCTTCCCCCTTTCAAACTGCTTCTGACTCTAGAAAACTTTATGTAATAAGGCAAAAAAATTAATTTCTTGGTTCTCAGGCCCTCCCTCATCTCTTCCAAGGGTGCCTCATTGACCCTGTTTACTGCTAAATCAATAAAATATAGACACCAAATCACCTCCCTTATCAGTTTTTAAGGTTTTGTACAATGTATAGGGCTGCCTCATCATAATTTGGGGGCAATAAAAAAGAAAAAAAAAAATGCCTCCCTCCCTCATCATATTTCTTGAAAAAGGGCCTGAGAACCAAGAAATTAACTTTGCATGGCCTAAGCAATTTAAACATCTATATTCCCTCGCTATTTGGAGGTTTTGATGGCAAACTTTTTTTACGGATTGTTCCTAAAAAAATCAAACACACAAGTATTTCTGACATTGAATTTTAATATTTTTGATATCATACAATATATAATTGATTTCACATCACCACAGAGAACATTGACAAAAACACATGCAAATTTTTTTTAACAAAAGTCTTAAATACCAAAACAAAAATCATTATGTGGCACATGTTTTCATGGTAGCAACAATAAAATTCAACTATACAAAATGATAAGTTTGAAAATAAAACATTCATGTCATCTACAATAAAAAATCTTAATATTTAATGAAATAAAAAGACAAAAAATAAGTTAAGATCTACAACAGTCTTGCCTTTTAATGATTAGGGCTCTATGAACCATATCGCTCATCTTGGTCTAGCTCAGAAAAAAAAAAAAAAATCAAAGCAGTGTTGAGAAGTTAACATATATGTGATGTTGTCACTCTCACCACCAGGACTAAGGCACAGGGAAGGGAATACTGACTTGAACAAAAATAAATTTCCATATAAACATAACTAACCATGGCTTATTTTTAGTACAACCAATTTTACTATTCATTATGTGAAAGGGAAACAAATGGACTTTTTACATCAAATCTTTCTTTCCAGCTTTTGTTAATATTTTGTCAACAATGACAAATCTAAGAATTAAAATAAAGGAAGTTCATGCATAAAATGAAATAGTCATCTCATGGCTACACTTGCTCTTCACCTTGCTCTTCACCTTCTTCTCTTCACAACTCTGACCTACAAATAAAAAAAAACAAATAAATAAAATGAAGATGTTAACTTTCATTCAGCTCTACATGAACCTATTAAAATTGGTTTCTTTTCATTTTCTGCCATGAAGCCTGTAGCATTTGCCTACAGAAAATATGTGATGTAATCCAGATAATTGTGCAAGTTATTTTCTCTTTCCTAAATTTTAATAAGAATTTTTACAAAATTAATAATTACCTTGCAACGATATTTAAATGCTGGATGTAAGAACTGATTTATTCTTATACTCTAACTACATAACAAAACCTAAAAAAAAAAAAAACACAAATAACAAACCTGAGACTGTTTCCTGAGATTTGAAATATGATTGTCCAGGACCTCCATAGCAGGCAGTGAGACAGGATTCTCGTGGACTCTCAAGTGAGGCTCGAAGGAGCTGACCTTTGGGATCCTTGGCATTGGAAATCTTCTCTCCCTCTCAAGATGTTCCCGCCACCAGCTCACATGGCCATCGCTCAGCTTTCCACCATCTCTCCATTTCCTCAGATCTTCCTCCATGGCAGCAAACACCCTCTCCCCTTTGTCTGTCACTTGCTGAATGGGATCTGGTTCCCCATCAAATGCCTTGGCTAGGTCAGTGACTGCTATGGAGTGGTAGCTGTTGGACTTCAGTGGCCACTCCTTATAGGACATCACGACATCATCTCCGACCTTCGTGAACCTAAAGCTGTGGGGAGTGCTGTGGCCATTCAGATGGACAGGTGCCTGAATACCCAGCTGCCTGTAATCCCAAAGATTTTCAAGGTGGTGAACTGTTGGGGTTGGACTGTATGCCTCCTGCACCAATTGCTGTAGTCTTGCAAGAGTTGGCACTGCCATCCCAGATAAATGGACCGACAATCTTGAAAACATCTGGTCGACATCTTCATGGGTATGGCCCACCATGAGAAAAGACAACTTGACCTGAAAGAGTGAATGAAAATTAAGACAGATATACATATTTAGATAGAACCCTAAACATTCATTTTTTTTCTTATTTAAATACACAATGACAACACTTTATTCTCATGCAAACATAAGGTGTACTTTGAGCAAAATATTTAACTCCCCTAAAAAACAATTTTACTTGACTGTAGATGCAATTAAATGTTTACATATTTAATCAGAATCAAAAGCTTATCGATTACTTATTAAGTCTTTGACTTAAAAATTTCAGACTCCTTAAACATACGTTACCCTGACCCCCCCCCCCCCCCCCCTTTCACAATGTTACACCTCTGTTTACATTTAAAAAATGTTTACTAGAAATTTGCGTTCTATATAATAACTTTACAGTAAAATAATTTTTATCATAACCTGTAATAAAATGAAATTAAAAGATATAACTGTTTTATAAACATGATAAACTAGTTTCTTACCTTCTTAAATATTCCTCTTCTTACAAGGTTTGCCAGGAGTCCCATTAAGATGTAATTCTTGTTGTCCTTGGCAGAGTTGTCAGCCTGAAGGTACAACGTTGGTGGAAGTGACTTGTTCTGAAATCAGACATAATTTGTCAGTGCAATTTATTCTTTTGGTGACAGAGGAAAATATAATGTTAATATTTATTGTAGGAAAATGAATATTTTTATTTGACTTATCATTATAAACTAATCAAATCCAACTACTTTTAACTAATTATTTCCAGTTTCAGAACTGTAAAGCTCATCAGAGCCAGATCACATTTCTTTGGGTAATGTGTTTTCTTTTCACTTACCGTAGAAACATCTTCAAGAACCTTCAGCAAGCAGTTGATCGTAATGTTGCTGTCACAAGCAAACTTGTCTGTCCATGTGAAGACACTTGCTGCTTTCTGTCCGTGAGCAAGGACACCAGTCACGTGGTGATGTATCCTTGTCAGGGTGGCATCTCCCTGCACAAAAAGAATAATAATTAGTGTCATTTTTGCATGGGTTTTCACTAATTTGTTTTTTTTTTTAATGTATTCAGTTGTAATTTTTTTGATAGCTTTATTTTATGGATACTCATCAAGGAAGATAAAATAATTATTTTTCCCAATCCTTTCCCCCACTGAGCTCGAAACAAATAACATCTTTATTTGGAGATGGAAAGAATAGGACTTAGCTTACCTTATGGTATGTGGGGAATCTTGGGAGAGTAGTCTTGGCTTGGTCCATGTTGTCAATGATCATTGACAAATATTTGTCTGGCTGGTCCAATGCCTTCTTACAGTGCTTATAATATTTCTCTCGTGCAATCCTACAAACATAATAATTTATTATTTCATACTGTTACTGGACAATCTCTATGTTATCATGGAATATTGGTTTTGTGGGATGCATTATTTCAATAAGACTTTCATATCATGATATGTGCAGTATCCAATACATTAAATTATTGAAACTTAAAATAGAAAAATTACACTTCACTTTCTAATAATTTAATTTTGTATATGGTCAAAACGAAAAAAATTTTTGTTTCAAACATCTGTTTCAAAAAGAAAATGGTTCAAGTCATTTTTAGAATTTCAAGTAAGTTGTACCTGGCCACTAGTAAATGTGCCCTTTTCTGGTCTTCGACCTTGAGGAGCTGCTCCTTTGTCAGTCGCTGAGACTTCAACTGACGGATCATCGCACATTCTCTGCACTCGGTGAAGGTGGTTTTCTGAAAAAAGATGATATTCATAAGTAAATCTTACCCTAAAACTATATATATAAATAACTAAAGTATTCTTTGTCTGGTGATTATCAAACATACATTTTTTCTATCATTTTTGTAAATTAAATTTCTGAAATCTTAATTTTTTAATAACCTTTACTATTTTTCCCTACATAAATATTAGGTTGTTGAATGTGAAATTTCCCCAGTATTCACTGTGAATGGACTAATCCCCATGCATTAGTCAAACAACTAAAACCTGCTTCAGAAGCTAATTTTGGGTTATCAGATCTAGGTTATACTTTACTATTGCAATAATATGTTGATGGACCAGTACCCATGTGTTATGGTCAAAATAGCTAATTCCTGCTCTGAAAGCAAATCCCGTGTTATCCATATCCTCTATTCTAAGTTTCCTTTTGCATTGATATAATATTAAATAAAACAGTTAGCAAGATCCCCCCCCTTGTTTTGAACATGGCTGCTTCTCAGGAAATAGTCCTGGCCTTAGTGAACTGAAATCTTTCTTACTCCCTCAATGTTAATTGTATAATATTATCTCAGGAGTATTTTTTAAAATCACTACATATGTACACCAAAATGTTGAAGGAAGTTACCTCTGAAGCTCTCATGTCTGGAAATCTCTCCTTCCAGACCCTCTGAAAATGCCGAAAACAGTATGGATCAGAGTGGCTGGCAACATACTCCTCGTATGTGTTCTTCTGGGTCAGGCAAGTGGGAAGGGTGACCTTTGGTTTGTCTGGGAGCTTCTCTCCTTGCTTCTCCCCTAAACTTCCCAAGTAGTTTGCCAACTCGGAGTACCGTCGGTGGCCATACTTCATCCCTTTTCTACCATCTGATGGGGGTGAGGGCAATTTCTTCTGTTCAAAATACCTAAAGAAAAAAATTAACGTTAAGTTTTCATGATCTCCAACTTAATTTATGCAAGCAGGTAAAACAATAAAATCAAAGTGATTTTGGTTTATTATCTCAAACCTTAATACAAGGTATTTCAAATTCCAGGGATATGAGTTTCGTTTCCCCATAAACAAACAGGTGGGAAAGTTATATATATATATATATATATATATATATATATATATATATATATATATATTATATATATATATATTGGATAATGCATCATCGATATAATATTTTATCATAACTACATGATTGTCAGGATAACTCTTTAACTCAATATATGATAAGGCGCATTTTAAAAAAAAAACTGAACAAATTATTAAAAAAATCATTGAATTTAAGCAAGAGATGAGGATAGCAAATAAATACACAAGTACATGCACCCAATCACTACATATTGGAATTCCAAACTGACACTGATTTTTTCTATTATTATATCTTGAATCCACTAATATTCAATAAAAGGTTTGTACCACCAAGAAAACCTTTTACTCTTACTTATTACAAAGACTTAAATGGTTCCTTATTCGTGTAGACCCTTTTCCTATGATATGTTTTGCCTAGGAGTTATTCCCCTTAGCCGCCATGTTGAAGGGCGTCATTCACAGATCCCAAATCAATCATCAAGTTCATTTTGTCATACTGATTACTAACAGACGTAAAGATAAAACTATTTTTCTTATGAATATAAGTTTGTTTAAGCCTCTATTAATTCATAATTTTAAGATTGTAAATATTTTTCCCATATATACTTCTTGCATGCACCATGTTTAAAATTGATTGCTCAAAGAGGAAAATTCACTGCTTTGTCCTACAAGATGGCAGCTAAGGGAATTAACTCCTAGGAAAAATATCTCAAAGGAAAGGGGTCTATTCAAGTATGACATAATTCAAAAATGTTCAAAGTAGATCTGGTACATATATTGTATTGGTGAGCTTAATAAATCAATCAAAAGCATAAATGCTAAACATTTTTATTTTTCCATAACATGAAATGAATCTTAAAAGATTAGCAAGCATCACATCATTTTATTTATGCATGTTTGTTATGAACAACCTGTACCGCCTTTCTGCTGATATGGATACCTTTCACGCCACTATTGTAGGAGGGTTACAATCTCGAAACTTGCATATTAATGTGGAGTCTAACTGTATTGTTATAAAGACGATAAAATATTTACCTTGATCTGGATACTCCATGAACCAAGCGCCAGCATTCAGTACACACGAACCGTCCAGCCAGAACACACATTTCTGAAGATACAGCAATGCGATGATTCACGATCTCCCTGTTTTGTTCTGCAATCACCAAGTTCCAAAACTTTTCCCTCAATCCACAACACACATCTAATGGAATGTTCTCAATACACCTGGATGGACAACACGGCGTCTGTATATCCCTCTCTACTTTCTCTCTGCTGGTGTTTTCAATGCATCTTTTACCAAAAGAATTGCGTCGACTGGTGACATCCACTGGAAAACATAAATATACAACTGATAAATAATGAAATACAAGATCATATTTAAGCCTGTTGAAATATTAACTTTAAAAAAATTAAAAAAGCCCAATCTAATTTGAAATTAAAAAAAAACAGATTGCCATTTTTTTTTTTTTTTTTTGGTGAATTTTAGATGTACATGTATGTTTATATAAACCATGCTGAGAAAAATTAGATCAAAATTTTGTTTCACTTAAAATTTTAATAAAATAAGATAAAACTCTGCTCAGAAATTAACAATTTATCTCTTTCTGTTACAAGGTTCTTTAAAATTGTAATGGGGGAGGGGGGGGGGCAATCATCCTCTACTACTACTCCTGGACCCCTGTCTCTCACTCTATCTAGGGGTTTCTTATCTCCTGTTGCAAGGCTTGCGTTACACAGCTCAACCTGAGCACAGGAGGGCTAGTATGGCACAGTGGTTCAAAACTCAATATTGTATAATCCCTATTAACCACCCCGGGTGCTTAGAAAATTGCGAAAAGGGGGTGGTTATTTTGGTATTGTCTCTTTCTAAAATTTGTTATATTTTAATTTCAAAAAATCTTTTGAAAAAAAAAATAAATTCAAAGAAACACTAAAATATGTCTAACTTTACAGTGATTTAAGTGAAGATAATCCATAAATATTATGCTGAATGATACATTTTCCACCAAGAAATTGGATTATAGAAAGTTTCATTTTCACTTTATTCAAAACTTTTGATACGATTCTAGATGATTTTAATCAATGTATAGGGGGCCCTTATATTTCCTGACCATAAAAAAGACCTAGAGGGGCGCTTATAGGGGCAGGGGCATTTAATAGGGATTATAAGGTACTACTCTTTAATCTTATTTCACAACACACTAAATTATCTCCCCTTAATCAATAAACTCGGATAATACACCACTGACCAAAACCTATACCTCCAATTATTAACCCGCGCTCTCTAAGTTACACTAAATTTATTAATTAACGAAATCTCTGTTTTTCTTCTCTATTTGTCAAGCTCTTTACAACCTAGACCTAAGGAAGTCACTAAAATTCTTGAATACTCATTTATCTCATTACTCTGTTCTTAATCTCTTGTATATCCCACAATTTCCATCTTGTTGGAAAATCACTGTGATAAAATCTTGTAAATCTCTGTACTTTTTGAAATGAGACAAAATACAGTTTTACCAATTTATTACAAGAATTGTCTTTTAAATGAACAATCAATAAATTTGAAGCTCTGCTAATGCAGCCTGTCTATGTCACCTATTAGTCCTAACTTATCTGTCTAAAACCAACCTCAATGCAACTCACAGAACTCGATTCTTATTCTCAAAGCTTCCACCCAGACCTCCTGGATGAAAGTAAAAACCAATAACTGAAACTTAATCCCTTAACCTAATTAATTCCTAACAAATTTGAAATACCAGTAATTCCTTCAAATTTCCTAAGTCTGAAATTGAATTAGCAAAATTTAGAAGTACACAAATTTCCTTAGCTAAATGTGTAAATTACCTTAAAGTCATATATGGCGTATGTACAATGAAAATTATTAGACTAAAATTATAAGAACTTATTATTTGTATGATTACTTTATATAAAGATAGAACTTTTTCGTAAATTACAAAATCTAAGTCAGTTGCGTTAAAAAGATATCACAATTTAATTTGGATTCTCGGAATTTTCTCCGGCTCGGAAGAAAATACAAAAGATTTAAATAACACATTATAGAGAAGATAAAATTGTATTGTTAGGTGAAACGAGGTGTTCTCCGTGTTCAGAATTGTATGAAAAGCTTTAATTTAAATTTTATTAACTTTATTTCTTTACTTAATTTTGTATTTTTCAAAAATATATTTTTTTTATCAGTTACGCCATATGGGCTTTAACAATTTCAAGTATATCTAAAATTTAATAACAATTTACCAAAAATTCAATCAACCAGTAAATTTAAACCAAGTCCAATATTCTCAGTTAAAAATCACCAAAACCTGACCAAAACTTCCTATAAAATTCCACAAATATTCCAAAACTTCCTAAAAATCCTTAAAATAACTCTGGCTCTTCTTAAAATAAAACTAAAAAGTCATTATTAAACCTAAATTCAAAACGCCCAACCCATACTAACTCCTTACCCCTAACACACGTCCTCTCTAAAGAAACCAACCTAGCAGAAGAACAAAATTTCCTTGAATCTCTCTTTTTTTATACAATAATATGACGTAAGCAGCTAAGTCTATAGAAAGTCTAATAACAACATACAAGACAACTACTCTGAATGAAAAAAATATCCAAATACATTCTTAGATTAGAATAAGAAGATTAATCTCCATTTAAATCGACAAATAACACAATTAACTCCAAAAATCCTAAAACTATCGTAACTTTTACGATCGGGCTCGATCTACACAATTTACGACCGCCAAGATCGTAAACAAATCGACCACTACTGGCACTAGTAGCTGTACCAGTCTATAAACTGCCGATAATCAACTGAAAAGAAGTCCAGCTTCAAGAAAACATGATTTCATCCATAAATCTACGGTTCATCTGCTAAAGAAGACCAATCAAAGTCCCTCAAACATGAAGTAAACTAAAATGATACCACAACTTTACTACTGCTATGATCAGCTGATTTCTACGTAACTCAAAACATGTGCATAAACTATTTCAACTCATGTCAATCACTTAAACTTGTCGATAATCACCTATCAACTACATGCAAAGCATTAATCAGTACATATTTCTGAAATGTCAAATAATTATATCACAAATACAAGATCGATCATCTTAACTGTCCTACAATCTGACAATGTCAACAATAATCAGGTTCAATGAATAACTCTGTATAAAACTAATCTGTCAAATCTCTGGACTGCTACAATATTTAAACATGTAATTACAATTTTATTTATATAAGCACAAGAATAGTCCAATCCACACTTTGCAGAAGTTGTTTCCTTTTTCGGGGTCAACCAAAAGGTCAAAAGGGAAAGAAACCCGATTTTTCCTCTTTATGCTACCAAATATTTGGATGTGCTGTGAAAAATTCATAGTGTTTAATTTTTTCTTCAATGTGTGGGTATAGCCCCATCTAAGGGCAATCAGTACACAAAAGGACTGGGAGAGTTTTTTAAAGAAAAAAATGACGAAGTTACACACCTGAAAACTACAAAGGCTACTGTATGGATTGTATGGGTTTATCCCCTAGATGGCGGCCAAGGGACAAAACTTTTGAAAAGTGTGGATTTGTCTATTGATAAAAATGCCATAATTTGAAAGCTTTCAACATAAAAAAATTCCAGACCTAGCCGGTATGCAAGAAGATTAAAATATTTTAAGCACAATTTCACATCATTTTAACTGTGAACCATTACACATTGTATTCAATTAAAATGGTTATCATGAGGGTACTCCACTCCTGTTATGTACATCTGACACATTACGCTTAACAATGGAAAACATAATATATGCACCTACCAAGTAGATTGGACCTAATTAAGATGCAGTAAAAAGATGCATAGTGCTTTACCAAGTTGAAAAATGTTATGCTAGTAGTTTACACTTGATAATATTTATTTGAAGTTGGGTAAATCAACCAGAAATATTGGCTTTGAAGAGCTATTGATAGTATTATTTGTAGGGCTGTATCAATATATCGATATATCGATACGTATCAATATTCAAGAAAAATATCGTATGAGGCGAAATAGACACGGCTTGGGCTAGGCTAAGGCAAGGAATCTGCCTGGGTTTTAAAAAAGTTGTCAGGGTTCTGCATGTCCAAGACATGGACTTGGTGTATGAAAGTGAGGAATCCTCAGTCTATCAAACCTGTGTGAGGCACCAAATCTGTGTCCCTGGGAGACGATTTTTAACTCAAGCGTGTTTTGCTTCATACTATTTATTCCTGTCTCATGGCTCATGGCTTTTTACTGAGCATGCTCAATCATAACTTACTTTTTTTGAATATTGAATTGGAGAGTATGATATATCTGTATACCAAATTTTATTTCAGTATTTTAAATGGTTGCGAAGAAAATGAACAGAAACTGCAGATAATTGAAATTTTTCTAAGTCCAAGGGACATAACGCTGCCAAAAGCAGTGTGATCTTAAACAAAACAGAACTTAACCTAGATATTTATGTGATATATCTGTATACCAAATTTCATTTCAGTACATTAAACGGTTGCGAAGAAAATGAACGGAAACTAAGTTGACCGACAGACAGGCAGCAGCAAAGCAATATGCCCTCCCTTCTTCGAAGAGGGGCATAAATATTGACCGATGATTCAGACAGGCAGCAGCAAAGCAATATGCATGAATTTTAATTACTTTGCTTACTTTTTTAAAGAAAAATGATGAGGTTTTCCCTTCTTCTTAGATATTTAGTACAAGATTAAATTGATACAGGGCGGGGTTAGGGTGAGAGTGATAGCACATCATTGAACAAAAGCACTTTAAAGCATGCAATTGCATATTTCTTAAAATATCAAACATATATCAATCTTACATGATTCATAAAGCGTAATTGGTTAATTTTAGCGAATTAAATTGATAAAAATTCATGTCTATACAAATTTTACATTATTTCATCATGTTTTTATACTTTTCATTCATTTGTCACATATTAGCAGTATGTATTGCATGTATCATTTAAGGACATTGGCATGTGAGGGTTTTCTATTAGAGGAAAGAATTTTAATATTTTTTTCACTTATTAAGTTTTAGGCCATATGCAACACACATACCTACTGATAAAATTTCAAGATATTCTTTATTTAAAATTATAGTGACAACAGTTGATAGTAGACAAAAATCAGCATGCATTACCAGGGATATTTAAAATACAATATGAAAAAGATAAAGATAAAAAAAATAAAGAATGATGACTCTTGGATATTTTCTTGCATATATAATAATTTTTTTTAATGTTCAGGTTTAGTTATGAACATGAGAATATTTTTTTTTAAATATGTGTAAGGTAAATGTATGACATTGTTCTAAAATTTACTTGATGCCTAAAATTATAATTCCTATCATAAAACAGAAGAAAAATATGTAAAAAAAAAAAAAAAAAATTTGTATACTTAACTTTATTTTAAATGTTTCTATTGTCCAACATGTGTTTTAGAAGAAGTGAACATTAAACCATACCTAGATATTAAAATACACCAATCAGTTCTACCAAAAATTTGGACTCTTCAACTCCATTGAAAAGGACCATGAAGTTCAAACTACATTCAATTTAACAGACATAATGTGATCAGAAAAGCTCAGTTTAGCTTTCAGCTCAGGGGAGCTAAAAAATGGAGGGGTCAGATCGACACTGCAGGTCTGTTTCCATTTAAAACTTAATTTTCTACCCATCTTGACCTTGGATTTTGTTAAATATTGTACCTCATGTAAATTCAATAGAAAATAAAACAAATTTGTCTCACCATTGGACATGTTGGAATTCTGCAGTTGATTGGTCACATCTTGAAGAGGTCTCTGCCAGGAGTCAAACTCCTCTAGTGTCAGTTCCCTCTTTCTCTTCATTTGAAAACTGTGAAAAAAATAATAATTAGTATCAATCACTATTGATACACATTTGCAGCAAATAAAAATACTTATTAAAATAGAATAGAGCTGCACTGGGGTATCACTTTACCTAACCTCAGTGTCTGTTAGCTAGTCAGTCTGTCTGGCACACCTTATATCTCAAAAATTGTAAGAGGTATGGACTTGATATTTTGCACATATATTACTTGGCACCTGGATGCATGGCTTGTGTATTTTACCATGATTATTGATCTAGTGACCCTTGATCTTTAACCTACTTATCAAAATATATCAAAGTGTCATTTATATATACAGTATAATTTCTATAATTAAGAGGTATCAGACTACATGCTATTTAGCAAATGCACTAAAAATTTTACACAATACATTGCAAGAAATACTAGCATTACAATTCATTGACCCTTGAACTTTGACTTAATTTGCAAATATATTCCAGACAGTGTCATTCAATTATATTATATATATCCTGATTTTAATAATTACTAGGATTAACATGTTTATGAGCTCATAATTATGTATTAATTTGCCCTAACATAACAATCACAAACTATAGGGCCACAAAATTCACAATTTTGGATGAAACGCTCTTGCTCATCATAAGTACATTGTATATACCTACTTACTTTGTTTAATACCCTCGAGCAAAGAAGATTTTTAAAGAATTCATGCATTTTCACTAAATAATCAAAAGAGTTCCCTCCTTACACCAAAACCCCTGACCTGAGGGGCCATATGACATTCACAAGTTTGGATGAGGCATCCTCATCATAACAATGCAAATAGTTTATTGGTTTAATACCCAGGAGCAGAGAAGAAGATTTGTGAAGAATTAATGCATTTTCACTATATAAAATCAATAGAGCCCCACCCTATCACCAAAACCCCTGACCCTGGGGCCATAAAATTAGTTATGGACACACACCCCTTTCCCTTTCGATTTACATACGATTCTCACAAGACAGAATTTGTAAATAAATATTTCTCAAAAAATAATAATAATAATAATCATGAAGCATAAGTTTATGTCCTTTCTGACTAGTTTCATTGAAGAATTTGACAAGTTCATACGATGAAATTAAATTACCTTTAATTTTATGAATTATATCTTATATATAGAGCTCTAGATATCCGATTATGCCCTCCATGCAAATTTTATACAGTGTATCATAGTGATGTACGTATCAACACTTTCTGAGACTATTCTTTCGCTTTAAAAAAGTTATTTGTTAAACCATCTGTACACTATAAATCTTATGCAGTGGGATTTTCAGTTGATAAAATAAGCGTCTTTCTTTGCTAATACAGTAGTGTACAGATAGAATCATAAAAAGAATGGGCATATATGCCTTGTTCTGTACATGTGCAAGTAGCAGCGAGATCAATTTATTAAATAAACAACTTCTACCACATGTTATACATGCATGACCAGTCAGCATAAAAAAATAGAATAAGAATGGAAGTTTCTTTTTCCATAAATGCCGTCTTGCTTTGGTATACAATGTCATGTCAACCACGTGTAAAAGTTCTACTTTCGTTTTGAGATTCGGGTCAATTATTGGTACATACTATACAGGTTGGGCGCTTTGAATGTACATGTAGCACAGAAATGGGGGGTGGGGGGATGAAATCCTGTTAATGGCGAAAAGTTGATTCTTTAATTTTATGTTTTATAAATCATACATGTTTTAATTGTTTAGTTAATATTTTTATACACGTGTACATAAAATTTATTTAGAGAATCAATGAATGATACAAAATTCAAAAGTACAATAAACAACGTCATTCAAAATTCATTTTGATTTTTGTTTCTGATTCAGTGTTGTCGAGTTTCCTTGTTTCTTGCTATCACTTAACCAGTTCTAATTCTTTTGAATTTATATTTACATTTTGCAATTTTTTTTATTATAAATATAAGATGAAGTCAAATGTTCCCTATCAATTAATTCTCGTGTCCGTTTCACGGGCGCGAGACTATCATTAACAGAAAACACCGGTCCCCGGAGTATTCTTTTTAGATTTATCTGAAGAAATGTGCGTAAAATTAAATAAATGTCTGAGCTTAGATAGATAGGCTATACAAATTTAAAAAATAATTATGAAATCTGCACAATGTTCATAAATTGAAACTTCTTTTTTTTTTTGTCTTTTAGTACTGCACTGTCCTATTTTGCTATTTTACTAAATATTTTTTCGTCAAAATTAAAATTACAGAATATATCTTTTTCAAAAACTAGTGAAGATTATTTCTTCTCAAAGTAGCAAGTACAGTGTAGGTAGGTAGGTAGTTTGTTTATTGTGTACACCGGTAGCCGCAGACGAAGAACAATAGGTGATTAGTGCCCATTGTTACGCTGACCACTACAATTCACATAGAATATACAAGTTGTACCCATCTTCAACCCCGGGGCAGGAGTACACAACACAGCCAAATCACAGGTTGATCACACACAATGAAAATCAATTTGATCGTCTGATCATTAACTTTTATTATCAAAATAATAGATAACACTACGTCTTATGTTTTATTTCTAATTTCATGAAATTAAATTTAAAAAGAATAATGAATAAAAATGTTTTGTGTCATGAAATTTAATAAATCTTCTTTATCAAAATTTTATGTTAATCTGCACTTACATGTATACCGGCACTTATTTTGGGCCGGTCTACACACATCTACATTACGTGCAAAAATGAATAAATAGATCAATGAATAAAACTAAAAATAATTGAAGAGAAAGTTTTGCCTTCAGATTGAACATAATCATGATAATTATTCGCCCGTTTTTATCTCTAACTTACATAATTTTTAAAAAGTGTAAATTTTTCAATTTGAGTAAATTTAGAATAATTTACGATATAAAAAAAAAAAACAGAAAACTTAGCCCGTAAAATATAAAAAAATTCTTTTAGGAATTAAAATTCTATGAGAGGTTATCTTTAAAAAGCGAACGATGTCCTCTCTTGACCGAGTGAAAACAATACGTATTGATCAACCTTTTCTAACCTGCAAGAAACATATTTTATCCCGAATTTCTTCCCACCCACTAAGAATTATTTCTTATTATTGATTAATAAACATCACTGACTTCCACACCTATTTTAAAGTCTGAATAGATGAAGTTAACTTTTTATAAGATGGTCTTACGTTCTTTTTATTAATAACATTTAATTTTATAAATTATACCTTCCGTAAAATATACATTAATCCATTCATCTAGCTTACAGATAAATTAGAACCCCTGACCCAGGGGCCACGAATTTCACAATTTTTTTTGAGGACCCAATGCTGATTACAATCATTGGTAAATAATTTTAATTTATTTATTGCTCAGGATAAACACCCTATGGCATAAAACAAAATGTACAATAATATTTACATAAGAAATGAACGGTTGTACATATGATGGAAAAAAAGACATAATTATCAGGCGCGGAGCCAGAATTTTTATCCAGGGGGGGGGGGGGGTCCACCGCAGTCAAAAAAAAAAAAATCCAATCCCAGAAATTACTTGACAAGCCAAAAAAAAAAAAAAAAAAACAAAAAAACGTCAAAAACCTATTTCGTGTCTTTCACTTATCTTACCCACTTCACACATGTTCACGGTTACCAGGGGGGTCTGAGTTTTCCAGGGGGGATCCATGGTAACTGTTTTCTTGTTATAGTATATACATTTTTTAACCTGGTAAATTCCAGGGGGGTCCGGACCCCCCCGACCCCCCCTCTAGATCTGCGCATGATTATGATACTGTATGACAGGGATCTTATAACTGTCCTTTACAGATTTACAAATGTAATAGATACAATATGCATGTGAAGCTTACATATAAAATACATATAAAATATAGGCAGTTCCTTAATTCAAAAGCTTTTAAAATATATTTTCCAAGATTACATAGTTATTTGACATTATTAACACTAATGAGCTGTATAAATTTAAACACAGAGGGTTTACTCCAATAATATTTCTTTTGTGAATTTTTTTCTCATGTCTATGTATCAAGGACACATGAGTATAAAATGATATTCATCCTCTATATCTTAATGTGATTTACAAATTGGACAAAATCTTTGGTCTCTTGGGATTTTTTTGTGCCTACCAGTTTTCATTTAATAGGTTGTGCAAGGACAAACAAATTTTAGAAATATATCTCTTAAACATTTTTGGAATAGGCTTCACCAAGTAGTACTGTAGACAGAAGTTACTGAACAAGTGTTTATACATGTATATATACTACACTTTGATTCTTTATCCATATCACATAATAAATTCTGTACATAATTATCTTTCAATCTCTCTTGTATGATGTCATGTCAACAGTTTGACTGCTTGATGTCCAGGAGTAAAGAAGAAGATTTTTAAAGATTGCATTAATTTTAGTTTTGAACAAACTCAAATCCTTTCACTACATGAGGATGTTCCCTTATAATTTCATCTTTACTGGCACAGTGGTTCTTGAGAATATTTTTAAGAATCTATGTAAAACTTTGATTGGCCATCATGGCCCCGCCCTACCCCTTAGGTCATGATTTGAACAAACCTGAATCAATGCTACCTGAGGATGCTTCCATTATTCCATAAAAATATGTTCATTCATGTCTTTGCTATTTTTGAGAAGATGATATTTAAAGATTTATTTCCCTATATATATTTGTATGTAAAACTTTGATCGGCCATTGTGACCCAGCTCTACCACAGGGGTCATGATTTGAACAAACTAACTTCTACACTATATCTGAATCCCCTTCACCTGAGGATACTTTTTGGCAAGTTTGGTTTAAATTGGCCCTGTGGTTCTTGAGTAGAAGATGAATATGTAAAAAGTTTAAAATGACAACTCCAACGACAGCAACGACAGACAAATTTTGATCAGAAAAGCTCACTTAAGCCTTTGAGTCAGGTTAGCTAAAGAGGGCTACCTCCCCTGCTTCTATAGAACACAATGGGTTGACCCATTACTGGTCAGAATGTTCACCTGTTGCTGTATATTGGAGGTAGACAACCCCTGTATATTCGGGGTAGCCCTTGAACAGGGATATCTCCCTTGGGTGTGGTGAATACAATAGACTGGGCCATTACTGCTATGCACTATTCACCTACATGACACCTACATAGCCCTGTTAAGTGGGGGTAAACAATACCTTTGTTATTTCTGGGTACCTCTTAACAGGAATTTAACTCTTCAAAATAAGTTTGGAAACTACCAATGAATAATTTGCAAAATTAAAAATTCAATACAAAACAAGCAAACACTTTTTCCTGTTATCTTGAATGTCTCAACTGTTTCTAGGTGTAGTCTAGTTAATTTATAATGGGTAAAACATTTTTCTCATTTGCTGTATTCATTTTTTTCTTGTTTATTACTAATACAACTTTGGACAAAATATGAAAATGTCAATTTTACTCCTTATTGGCACATTTTAATCCTTTTTTCCCCATTTCAGTCGATTTTTTATATTCAAATAAAAATGTGGCCTACTTGATGCCTACTTTGAAACCATGGTACTTGTGGTACTTGTACTAACTTAGTCTGTAATTAAGGACAGGATGATGTAAACAAAAAATGGATGCCTGGATTGGTAAAAATTTTTTAATGTAATTTCATTGCATATTGATGCAAGCAATAAATGACTACAATATAAAGAAATTGTACACCGTCTGTGACATTCAAAATTCCACTTTCCTGAAATCATCCTTTAATTTATTCTATAGCATAAATATAATACGTCATTCAAGTTTTTTTTTAAATTCAAATTCTATTTTTTGCATTTTGAATATATTAAGATGATCTAAATAAGAACTATGAGGTGAATCTTATGCACTTTATTCACTTTATTATTTACATGACATAAGTTGTTATTTTCAATATTTTTTTTTACAAAATTTTGTAATAATCTGCCCTGAAGTTATTAGAATTTGTTTTACACATTTTATTATGTTGGTTTTATTGAATTCAATCAAATCTAATTATGTTTAAACCATTTGTATAGTATTTATACAACAATAGTGTTCAAATAATTAATCTAATAATCACCATCATCAGGATATAATTAAAAGAAGATATCAACATGATCAATATTTTATATTTCTAAACATAAGATTTAAGAACCGTGTTTATTTTAGTAATTGTTTCTTTAATACCAAAGATCTCACTGTAAAATTAAAATAGTTTGCAATATGTGTACAACAAAGGGAGGTGTAAATTGTGATGGGGGTAATGAGGAGATCTTGTTTAAAGAAGTGGGTAGGATGCCTCCTCTGAGCTTGATTCTTAAAAAAACATTAGGGCATGTTGTGTTGTTTTAACTGTAAATGAGGAGTCGCTAATAAAGCCCTGGTATTCTGTATTTAGTTGTAATCTAAATTATATGGATCTATAATTATTATTTTCTTTATAATTATAGTAAGAATTCATCTGTCTGTACTTATAACGTGTATCCTGATTTTTACCAAAAATATTTGTGAAACTTTATTAATACAATTTTTTAATTTATATTTGTAATAAAGGTTATCACATGCTGCACTAAATGAATTTACTGCAAAAATATATACTTTTTATAACATGAAAACTTAAAATTCTGTTTGACGATATTTTAATACAAATTTTGTGAGCATTCACTTACAGATTATGTTTCTGCCTAAGGCCAAAATAAAATATTGTAGTTTGTTTGGAATTGCCTCCCGCCTCATTGAAATGCCCTGAAAAAATTTAATTGACCAAAAGTAGGAAGAATTTTTTTTATTTAATCGATTTTTTTGCCAATTACATGTTTTTAGATGCGCCATACAAAACACTTGAATATAGTGTCAGATCTATGTTAAATTAGGGGGGGGGTGTTGATGGTACATACTTTTTTAAAAAGTCAGAAAATGTATTTACTGTTTACTGAGATTTTTATCAAAAATTTTAATTTTAAAAAAAGAATAATTTCCCTCCCTCCTGTTTCTGAAACCCTTCAGGCGGCAATTCCAAACACTGAAACAGAAAATTTTTTAAGGATGGCCTATTGTGCCCAAATTTACTTTTTCTCTAAATATTTCACTGAATACAACATTATTCAAATCCATTGTCAAATGGTCAATTTATATCTATTTTATTTATTTATTGTAGCAATCAATACTTAAATTAGGAAAATGTTAAGTTATCTTTCTTTAAAAGATTAGGCCTATCCTACATATTTAGTTTTTAATTATTTTGAAAAATATTCCTACCTAGTACTGGACTTCGAAGAACAATAACAGTTCGCTTCTTAATTTGAACATGCCGTCAAAGCGCTGCTGAAAGAACAATAACAGTTCGCTTCTTAAATCTTAAAAAAAGTGGGGAAATATTAAGTTAAAATAAATCCGTAATTAAAACGGAATTCTAATTAGGTTAACTATTTTGAAAAATATTCCTACCTTGTACTGGACTTCGAAAGTTGCTTCTTACTTCTTTGACTGCTGGGACAAGATTGATGACGGATGAGGATGCGAGTCTTTTATCACGCATGCGTATCCTTTGAAGTTCCTTCATCGTGATGTACACAACCGAGGCTGAACATGCCGTCAAAGCGCTGCTGAGTCGGGGTTTGTGTGTACACATAGTTCATCGCACGGCTGTGAATTTAAAAACTCGTAGCGGCACAATCAGAGGGTTACAAACTCAACGTACGGCTGTCGTGGATTTAAAAACTCGCAGCGACACACCACATTGCAGCTAAAGCGGTATACTTATTGGATATCAAAGACCTTTCATCTCTGTGGTTGATGTTACTGGGTAAGTTGTTAAATATCTTAATTCTATTTCACAATTTTTAAACATGTAGTTTTGATAGACAATAGTTGAATGATTTTTCCCTTTCATGTTGTTTAACATTTTTCACAGTAGCATGATGTACTGTCATTTACCCAGTAGTTGATCGGGCATATTTCTTTAACATTCATTTAATATCATGATTAATATTCAATTTGACCCACTTCCACATAGGCCTATGAGCATGATCATGATGAGTTAATGACATGTGTACCCTATTTAGGCTATTGAATTTTATTAAGCAAATCAAGTCAAATATTTTATAGGTCTAGTGAAACTAAAAAACACTTTAAATATAACAATATTGTTCATGACAGATATGAGATGACACTTATTAAAATACAATGTAGAAAGTGAAGCAGTGTAATTCTAATATTGTGTAGTACTTGTCAGAAGGTTAAAATTATGCATGGCAATCAAGAAATTTAAGTCTCAAACATTTCCTTTCATCATTGTTCAAATATTTATTTTATTAATGATAACTTGGTTTAATTTGTTAAATGTTCTGGAATTAATAATACCGGTATTCCTACTATGTAAGAAAAATGTAATGACCCATTGAATGACAATTTCAAAGTGGTCAAGAAAGGTGCAGTGATAGGTCAGTCCCTTTAGTCCAATCAGTGTTCACCTGAACAGGTGTGAAATTTTAAAACAGTATATAAAGGTGTAAAAATCTCACCTATTACCAATCATTGGTACCTGCACTAGTAGTAGATCTCATCATGGCTGCTTGGACTCTTACTTCCAAAAGAGGGCTTGTTACCTTCAAGACTTCAGGTATCTAAATCTTTTATTAGTAATATTAGATATTGTAGGATTTTAAAATTTAAACGCTTCAAAGAAGCCCTAATATTCATTATGTTTATCATGTTATTATAATTAGTACCATTTACTGGCATTTAATCTTATGTTATTTTGACATAAAGCATCTATAGATGAGAAAAAAGGGATAAAATTTGTGAATTTCCTGATGCCCCTATCCCCCTGGGACATGAAGGGTGGGGTCAAAACCACTAACATGTTTGGAATTCCTTGTTTTTTACTTATGGCCTCAGGAAAATGAAACAGACTTACACTTAAGTCTAATTTTCAATCCTTGTAAAATATTTTTGTTAATTACTGAATGAATCTCAAAATTTGCAGATAATAGCTAGCACTTTAACATGTTTAAAGAATCAACATGGAAACACTTTCATTTTGATCTGCTTGCTTTCCAAATTTTTTTTTACTGAAGGTATCTGATTCAAGGGCATAACTTTTTAACCTTAAATATCCATCCTGTATAAATTAAGATAGTCCGATCCTCAGGTTTATAATATTTTCAGTTAAGTAATCAAAAATATCTCTGAATTCACAGAGTTATGTACTAAATTCATCCACAGTATTTCTTTCAAGTTAAGGGACTCCGACCCTCAGCCAGGAAGGACAACTCTTTAATTTATAATTTAATTCAATAAGTCTTTAAATGAAGCTTGAAAATTAAATATTTTTTCCAACAATTTTCATTACATGCCTCTCAATGTGCTTCAAGGTTCTTTGCAAAGCTCCATAAATCACTTCTAATTTCATATCATATTAATAAACATTGGTATCTAAAAATGCTTTTTCGGGATAAAAATTTCTACTTTTAATTAGATCTTTCTGAGAAGTTCAAAGAATTGAGAGGCGTATAACGAAAATTGTTGCATGAAAAGATTTAATCTTCAGACTTTTTGAATTAATTAAAATTATAATTAAATTTTTGCAAGAAAAAGTGAATATGAATATCAGCGATTTTTGCATTTTCTTATTGCAAATTGATCAGCAAATATAATTTAGGTTAAAAAATGATAGGTATCAAGGTATTCAGAGAAATTGTCATAATTGTTATACTTCTTTGGTGTTTTTTGTTTTCTATTTCCGTCATGAATTCTACAATCACATGGTGTATAAGGATTTTGCTATCATTGCATATCATGCTAATAATTATTGGTAACTAAGTAAGGCTGGATTCAAGAAAATCTTATTTCTCTAAAACTGTATTATTTTATTTCTTTTTGAGGGTAAAATTATATGTCAATTTTTTTTATAAGACCTTTTCTTAGCCTTCCAAAAACCTTCAATCTTATAAAGATGAATAAAATGAAAATTGTTGCATGAAAAAAAAAAATCATTTTCAAGCTTCATCATGATCATTTTGAAGCATTTCAAATTCAATATGAATTTTTAGGTCACCTGAGTAAACTCAGGTGACCTATTGCTATCCGTTGTTGTCCGGCGTCGTGCGCCGTGTGTTAAATTTAAGCATTTTCAGCTTCTTCTCTATAACCGCTCAACCAATTTCAACCAATTTTGGCACAAAGCATCTATGGGTGAAGGGGAACAAAAATTGTGAATTTCATGGTCCCTGCCCCCCTGGGGCCTGAGGGGTGGGGCCAAAACCACTTAAATTAGTGCAATCTTTAAAAATCTTCTTCTTTACTCCTGGACATCAAGCAGTCAAACTGTTTGCATGATTGTAATCAGCATTGAGTCCTCTACCAAAATTGTGAAATTCATGGCCCTAGGGTTAGGGGTGCTAGTGCTAGGGCAGGGCTAAATATACGGTATAGTGAAAATACATTACAACTTTGGAGATCTTCTTCTCTGCTCCTGGGCATTAAATAAGCTAACCAAGTACATAATTATGTTGAATAAGATTGCCTTTTCAAATATTGTGAATTTCATGGCCCCAAAGTCAGGGGTTCTGGTGTTAGGGCAGGGCTCTAAAGATTATATAGTGAAAATGAATAAATTCTTTAAAAATCTTCTCCTCTGTGCTTTGATATATAACCAAAGAACAATGTACATAGTTATAATAAGGAAGGATGTTTCTTCCCAATTTGTGAATTTCATGGCCCCTGGGTCAGGGGTTCTGGTGTAAGGGCGAGGCTCTATTGGTTATATAGTGAAAATGCATTAGTTCTTTGAAAATCTTCTTCTCTGGTCCTGGATATTAATTAAAGAAACAAAGTGCATAGTTATAATGACCGAGAATGCCTCTTTTAAAATTGTGAATTTCATAGCCCATGGGTGAGGGGTTCTGGTGTTAGGGCGGGGCTCTTTAATTGTTTATGTAGTGAAAATATATTAATTCTTTAAAAAAATCTTCTTCTCTTCTCTTGGGTATGAAATACACTAACCAAGTAGATGGTAAATTGAATAAATCTGCTTCTTCCAAAATTGTTAATTTCATGGCCTCAGGGTCAGGGGTTCTGGTGTTAGGGGCTGGTGGCTTTGTTGATTATATAGTGAAAATGCATAATTTTTTTAAAATTATTCTCCTATCCTGGGTATAAAACCAATAAACTATGTACATAGTAATGATGAGGAAGGATGGTTCTTTCCAATTTTGTGAATTTTTTTACCCTTGGGTCAGGGGTTCTGGTGTTAGGGTGGGGCTCTACAATGATTATATTGTGAAAACACATGAATTCTTTGGAAAGTTTTCCTTTTCTCTTTGGTATATAGTGCCAATGATCTAAGTATATATTTATGATGAAGAAATGTGCCTCTTCCAAAATGGTTAATTTCAGTGCCCCTATGTTAGGGGTACTGCAGAAAGGGGGGGGGGGTTATATAGCCAGAAAATAAAGTAATACCGCCTTATACCGGTACTTTGAAATCTGCTATTTGATTTTAATCACCCATTTCTGATGACATGAAATTTATAAAATTTCCAAAATTTTGAAATATGTGGCAATGGAAATGCATTTTCTCTCTATTTCTCTGATCTGCCTTTCAGTTTGGTTATTAAGTAACAAAAATGAGCATGCTAAGTGTGTAGTAATGATAAACAATGGTGCCTCTTTCAAAATTATGCATTTCAAGCTAGGCTTAATAGCTTAAGGTTTAAAATAGTCAAACCAAATTCAGTTGTTGGAAAGTTTTACATGTTACTCAGGTGACCTATAAGGCCCGTGGGCCTCTTGTTAGAGTTTATTCCCTTCTGGCTGAGGATTGGATATCCTTAAATACTCCGAAAATCAGTTTAGAGTAGGTTGGGAGGTAAATTGTCTGAAAATAAATTATTGCTTTTAAATCAACTCTTTTGTATTAATAATCTTTTATCATCTTAATCATGTTAATGATGAAAAAAAATTTTGGTATTAAAAATTTCCAAAATTTTGAAATATGTTGGTCCAGGGTCAGTGGTTCCTGTGAAGTAGGGTGCACAACTGCATGGTTATAAATTGGAAATGCGTGCATTCACAGGCACCATGCTGGTCGTGTAAAATCTTTCCATAAATAAAATTTAGATAAAAAATACCAGATCAACTTCAAACTTCTGGCTTCAAACAGTTACAAGTAAACGGATAGAATTCTTCAGCCTATAGGTGTAGGATACAAGATTTAGTGAACTGGCCCCATTCACATAACTGCTAAAATTTACTTTTAAAAGGCAAATTTTTTTTCAGGCAAGTACATTTTTGGCAGGGCTGATAATTTTCACTAGCATAATCAGCCCTGCATGTCTTGCTAGGAGCAAGAGGCACTTTGTGCCTTATTTGGCCCTGAGAATTTCTGAAAAATCAAGTCCTCTGAAGTTGCAAGTGCAATATTTATCACTTAGTTTAGAAAGTTGGTGACCATGTTTCTCTTAATCATGATGTACTTTTCCCTATAGTCAGACTCAGTGCATTATAAAGCCATAAAATGTGTCATTTTCATCAAATCCTGTTAATTCCTTTGAAATTGCCTATGGTTAAACTTAAAGTATTTGATCAATACTTCATATAGCTCACAACACCTCTGAACCAAAATATGCAAATACATAACAAAATATCTTTCTCTGAAGATTAAAAAAAAAAACGGTTTTTGGTAAGACCTCAAAACACAGATATTTTTAAGTGGTATTTTTTCTATAGACATTGAATGAAGTGGCTATTAATGGTAAGAAACTTGAATAAGTTCTTCAAAGCATCTTGAATGTATGTATAATAAATAATACAATAAAATATAAAAAATATGTACATGATGCCCGTACGAAACAGTCCGGGCGGCTTAGACACAGCTCAGGCACGGATTCCGTCTCCTGAAACCCGTGCTTTAGCATTCCGTGCTCCCATGTAAAGCATGTATGGATATTGGCCGAATTATTTAAATGAGATCACACGGTTTTACAAAACCCGTGTCAAAAAGCCGTGCTTGTTTCCATATATGGACTCACGGATTCTGTAAACCCGTGTCTGAAACCCGTGTCCTTTTCCATATATGGAGACACGTTTTTTTTTTAAACCCGTGTCAAAAAAGCCGTGCCTTATACCATATAAGGAGTCACGGGATCTGTGCATTCGTCTAGATCTAGGTCATGGCCTTTAGAGAATGTCCTGATGTAACTGTGAATGCCAAAATAGTGACTGAAACCAAACTAACTTCACATTGCTTTACATTTATGCTTAGTTTTAGAATTTCAAAAATTTAAAATCTTATATGAATGTGTACATTTACTTTCTGTTAAAGATTAACTTTATCAGTGACTATTCATGCTAGTTTTTAATTAAGATTTTAATGATAATGTACAATATTCAATTATAATCTAATCTAGTAGCTGTAAGGCACAATCTGAGAAAGAATTTAGTATAAATAAAACTTTCACTCTATAGAACATTGTTGTCACATTAGTGAAAGTCCAACTAAAGTCATTCAAATATGCCTAAACTATTTCATCATGTTCATTGTCAACATTGCAATACAGGCAGATCATGAAAATTGAAAAATTGACCAATTTATTCTAGATTACACTTACTGCATTTAGTTTAAAAAAGAAGAAATTATCCCAGACTGACATAAATACAATTCCAACTGACATCTATTGGTTGAATATCCTTTAAATAGAGCAAAAAGACACACTGACTTAGCTCATGACCAAGAATCCCTCCAATTTAATATTCAAATAAAGGAAGTTATGATTGAGCATGCTCAGTAAAAAGCCGTGAGATATAAATAAATATAGTTTGAAGCAAAACCCGCCTCAGTTAAAAACCGTCTCCCTGGGACACAGAGTCCGTGTCTCGATCCACATGGGTTTCAGTGAGTGAGGATTCCATGATCACTTTCAGACACGGAAGCCGTGTCCGTGTCTTGGACATGCAGAACCCGTGCGGCTTTTTAAAAATTCCGTGTCTTAGCCGTGCCCAAGCCGTGCCTATTCCGCCTCGAACTTTGTACGGGTGTACTGTACATACCAATAGAGCAACGGTCACATCAGAAAGTTTTGGTTGCAAATGTATGATTAAAGGTGCATGGATACAGATTTGAAGATATTTTTTGAATAATATTACAACATATATTTTCACACAAAAATAATTTTAGAGAAGAAGTATTAGAAAGCAAAACTCTTCACAAGTATATAATAATCATTCAGAGCTAAGTAAGTCGTGAACTGTGGAATGTAGCAAACTGATCACACCTGTTAAACGTACAAGGTTATTGTAAACAGGACAAGAGCTCTGTTATTGATGATTACGATTTATGGCGGGTGCGTTCAATCATCAAAGTCTGCTAACCACAACTGCGTCGACTGACATTACATTGTGTTTATGTTTTGCTTACAACCATTTCTACTATAAATTTTTGGATTATAGTTTTAACATTTTTCATATATACACAAGCAGATTACCACTAAGGTACTTTTCCCAAAAAATAAGAATAAAATTAAATTTTGCAACTGCAAGGATGTGTCAGTCAAACTCGCCAAAGATTTGAAGTTTCAATTACATTTAGATGAAATAAGATCATGAAGATCTATTTATTTTTGTGTGAAATGAAATGATAAAATTTGAAAAAATTTTGTAAACTGACCTAACGGACCAAACCTAATGCAAACTGTAAGATAAAGAAAATACATGTAGTGTTTCCTATTCCAACCTGAAAATTTAGGGTAACTAAAAGTAGAAAAAAACATAATATAAAAATTTTATGTAGTTTTGTGTAAAAAAAACATTGTCAACAGAGGCACAGCCATAGCTAAAATCACATCTATAGATTAAACCAGTGACATCTAGACCTTTTATGCAATAATCATGATAAAATGAAACTGAAATAAAGACATTTACTTTCAACACAGGTGGTAACTCTTCAACAGTGAAAAGGCTTTTTGAGTACCAAGAAAGAGATCAGGATCCTCTGATGAAAGTTGTCTTGGTAAGTAAATAGTTAAGTTTTGTATTTGCTACATTAAGATATTCAATGTATCACAGAATATTTTGACCTTAATACATGTAGATATAAAATAAATAAATGGTCCAGCACGATTCTACATAATCATGGTAACAATGGATTGATTTATTCATTTATCACTTTCAATAAATACATAAATGTTACAAGAAGTACGTATATGTGTATGTATGAATATTAATACACACTGTTACAATATCAGAGATTTCAGCAGTAAACATGGTAAAGGGCATCATGGAAACATGTTATTTAAAAATAATTTGTTACAGTTATTTTATGTCTACATTCTGGGTTGTCTTTCCCTGAATAATGCCTTGTTATGACTCACAAAAAAATTTCAAAGTGCTCTGAATGTGTCCAAAATTTCAAATATCAAAGTGCTCACAATGCCTTTATTCAGTAACATAATCCTGTTATAGATACATCATTAATAATTGTAAATATAGAAATATTCATATTGTGCTTGGGTTAATTATTAAGTAGATGTAAAAGGCTCATGACAGTAAAAGTGATATATCTTTAAGATTTAACACATTGAAATAAACAATATCATAGCTTTGCACAAAAAGATGACATAGGCCAAATTTTTTAAATTTCTCGGTTCACAGATTTCTTTTCTAAAAAATTAGGGTTGATTGAGAGAAAAAAAAATAAAATTAAAATTAGGCTCTTCTGTTTTCATGAATGAAATGCGGTTTCAAGCAAAAAAAAAAAAAAGAATAAATAATAAATAATTAAGAATAAAGAAACATGCATTCACAGCATTTACTACCTCTTTACAAAATTAATTTTTTCCCACAATTTCTTAAAAAATAGAGTCTGTAGATCCGTAAACCAAAATAATTGAAAAAAAATTGTTCAGAAATTAAGCCTGTGTAGTCTATTAAAAGAAGTACATAAATTTTGATTTTTCTTACATCATCTTGAAAAAAAAAGCAAAATATGAATGTGTTTTGGCAAAACTGATTGACATTTTACTTTTTAAGAATTATTACCTCATTTACCTCATATTAATATATAAATAAGTGAAGTAGCCTATTAAAACAAGTTATTTTAAAAAATAACTGGATTCCATCATGCCCCAACTGTACAGGAGGACAGACAGTGTAAAAAAAATTAGGTGATAAATATTCATAATTTTCTAGACCAGTCAAAATACACAATTTAAAATATTTGAATGTAGCAATATATATCAATTGATTGGTATGTATGATAACATTGTTAAAAAGGTGTAGAATTGTTATTTTCCGGTATAATATTTTGTACCTTTGCATCCCAGGGTTCCTCAAGGTTCAGTATTAGGGCATTTGCTATATCTAACTCATCTTCAGCTCAAGTGAGCTTTTCTGATCACATTTTGTCTGAAGTCTGTCTGTCCTTCCGTCTGCTTATAAACTTTTCACATTTTCGACTTCTCAAGAACGGCAATCCAACTTGCCACAAAGCATCCTTGGGTGAAGGGGATTCAAGTTTGTTCAAATGAAGAGCCACACCCTCATTCAAGGGGAAATAATTGGGCGGGGCTACAATGGCCAATCAATGTTTTTATATAGAAATATAAAAATGGACGACCAAAGTCTTACATAGAAATATATGGGAAAATTCTTAAAAAAAAAAAAAATCAACTCAAGAATAGAAAAGCTTTAATTGATCATATTTGTATATGGATAGTGTAGATTAAAGTTTGTTGAAATCATGACCCTCCGGGGGTAGGGGGGATGGCCAATCAAAATTTGACATACAAATATAAAGGAAAATTCTTTAAAAATTTTATTCTCAAGAATAGCAAAGTCATAAATGATTATAATTTTATGGAAGCATCCTCAGGTAGTGTAGAATTAAAATGGCCGATCAAAGTTTTACATAGACATATAATTCTTTAAAAATCAAGAATAGCAAAGTCATATGGTTAGTCATGGGACTACTTTTGGGAATTTAAAAAATGCTTATTTCCTTTATTTAATCAATTGTTCAATCTTTAAAAATGTGTTGACAAGGGCAATAACACCTGTTTGGGTAACTTCATTCAGGCATTTTCTTTATTGTTCTTCTATTAATTTCCCTGATGTTCACAATCCAAAGTATCATCTGATAAGTAGCAAGTATTTTGGAACGTTCAGCATCATAATTATGCATTTTAACTCAGTTTTTACATAATATATGTATGATAGAGTTTTTAAAAAATGTAAAAATTTTATATGTTGACATATGCTTCTGTTAAATTATGTCTCCAATATGGCAACCTATACATTTTTAAAATTGTAAATTCAAACTTTATTATAAAATGAAAATAAATTCAACTTTTTAACTTTTAACCATTAAAATTGTAAGGGTGGAAACAACTTAAACAAAAGATCTTCACAAATAAGAACGGTCTATTCAAAGTTATGAAAAGGGGGTAATTAAACCTTGTATTTTAAACTTTCCTTTAAATACAGATAAAAAATCCATCCAAATTAGTGTACTCCATCAGATATTACATATTAATCTTCAAATGCAATGCAATGCATACAACCGATATTAGCAGGAGATACAGAACTCCGATAAATCAATGTCCAATTGACTTGTTGAATTATTATTTAATTATTTTTATAACATTTCATGTGTAAAATAAATAAACAGTGTTACAGCTAGGATCTGAAAATGGAGGGGTGCAATAGAAGGGCACTTTTTCGCGATATACGGTGATACCGTTGTCGCAAGTTTTTCTTACATCATGTAAATAGGCGTACCTCATTTCTTCACCCTACTAATGAATATATAATTCCTTTAAATATGATTTAATTGTTTAACCTTATTGATATTTAACTTTATAGCTAGTTTATGTAACAATATATAAATTCTAATTGAAAGGTAATTTTAATTAGAATAAATGTGACTTTTCTTCCATCGATTACTGTACTTCAGTCATTTTCTAGTTTTGATCAGAAATAGAATGTAGTACAAATAATAATTTGTGTAAACTATCTAATGTCTCACATTTAATATTACAGTACATGAAGATCTAAATGTACAGTGTTTTATTACTGAATTCAAAATTGCTTAAGTTTGTATTTTGCAAACTACTTGAAATTAAATATATAGTAACAATATTTTTTTAATCATGAATACCATTTTCTTACATATTTTTCACAAACAACAGCAATTTAAAAGCAGGTCATCGTGACCTACTTTTTGAATTTTATGGCTAATCTTTTCTAAAACATTTAATCCCATTATTTCAGACACCGAGAGGTTTAGAATCACAAAATCTTGTAAGTTAATGCATCTTGGGGCCTTAAAACATATTTATCAAAAAGTAGGTCACTTTGCAGGCATTTGTTTCCAAATCATTTAAAACGCATATTTTGAATACTATTAGACCCATGATCATCAAACTTTGTTAGTTGATGTATCTTGGGTTTTCGGAGATTAATGACCAAAAAGTAGGTCATGGTGACCCACTTTTGACATTTTATGTCTATATTTAAGTATCTCAGGTACTTTTTGGCTTAGAATCATCTAAGCTTTGTCAGTAGATGCATCTTGTGTTTTCAGAGAATGTCGATCAAAAAGTAGGTCACGGTGACCTACTTTTGACATTTTATGGCTATATTTAGATATTTTAGGTACTTATTTGGTTTAGAATCATCAAACTTTCTTATTTGATGCATCTTGGGTTCTCGGAGAAGGATGAAAAAAAATTAGGTCATTGTGACCTATGTGTGACATTTATGGCTATATTTAAGTATTCTAGGGTACTTATTGGCTTATAATGGCTAAACTTTGTCAGTTGTTGCACCTTGGGTTTTTCGATAATGTTGACCAATAAGTAGGTCACTGTGACCCACTTTTGAATATCTCAAGTACTTATTGGCTAAGAATCACCAATCTTTTTCAATTAATGCATCTTGTGTCCTCAGAACATTTCAATCAAAAAGTAGGTCACGATGACCTACTTATAGTATTTTATAGTTTACATTTAAATATCTTCAGCTCTAACTGGCTAAGAATCATCAAACTTTGTCAGTTGTTGCTTCTTAGGTCTTGGATGGATTGTATAGTTTATCAGAAGAGCAATTCAAGGCCCTTGGGCCTCTTGTTGATAGTATTTTATTAGACAGTATTTATAAGCTTTATGATAAAGTGACAGATACTAATTATTTGTGCCTGGATCGATAGATCCTAGGCGTATATTGTTTTTGTTCTGACTGTTTGTTTGTCCGCAAAATTTAACATTCGCCATAACTTTTGAACAATGAAAGGTAGAGACTTATTTGGAATGCATACTTCACTAATTCAGACCTCAAATGACACCAACGTCAATGACCTTGTGACCTTGACTGTGAATTATCTACATGCTAAAAATAGCTTTTTTATCTGCAAACTTACTTTCTTCTCCATGAATTTTGAACCCTGAAAAATAGAGACTTTATGCATACTTCACTAATCAAGTTCTTTCAAATGACACCAAGGTCAATAACCTGGTAACCTTGACTGTGACCTATAGACTAAAAATAACTTTTCAGTACCTTCCCCTTAACCTTTTAACCAAAAAAGATAGAGACTTCATATTTGGTTTGCAAACTTAACTTATCAAGCTCTTTCAAATGACAGCAAGATCAATGACCTTATGACCTTGACTGTGACCTATAGGCTAAACATATCTTTTTTCATACCTTCACCATAACTTTTGAACCATAAGCTGATAAGAGATAGAGACTTCATAGTTGGTGTGCAAACTCCACTTATCAAGTTCTTTCAAAAGACACCAAGATCAATGACCTTGTGACATTCACTGTTACCTTAGGCTAAAAATAGCTTTTTCGAAATTTTGTTGCCACCCGGCTCATAGTGTTTCACAAACACATCTTGTTTTTTTTCTCCATTTCTTTTTGAGAAATCTGTTTAAATAGAATCTACGGGTATTTTGTACTACCTTAATTTTTTTAGGCTGATGCTGGGGAAGAAGATGTCACTGTTCAGATTTCACCCATGAGGTTTTATGTAACTGACGATGCTTTCAAGTACCTCCATGGATTAGATGTGAAGGAATTTGTCGATGAATTCCACCTCCTTCTGAAAAGAAGTCAGCTGAGGACATTAGGTAAGTTTGCTCTAGTATTTAGGAGTAAAAGCTTTAACTGACAGGAAAGGTGTACATGTATAATCAAGTCTCACACATGTATCAGATACATAACAAAAATATAATCTTCTTTACAAAAAAGCATAATATTGAGCATGACTCAATTGATAAAGTGTTAATATCTGTTGATATATAGAATAAATTAAGGGATATGTTTTGTCATAAATGTGCATGAATTCAAATACATTGCACTTTAAAAATTATTAGGATAGTTCATTCAGAGGAGCTATTCTTGATCAACAAGATCATGCAATTCTAATGATTCTTGATATTGGCTCTAGAAATAAGTGTAAATCATTTAGAGGTCCAATGAATAGAAATTTCAGATATTTACTACAGAACCTAGAAAATAATTACAATTGTAATAAATGTATGGCATATTTCAATAACATTTTAAATAAAAAAAAAGTTTATTAAATTTTTTATATTTTACTCTGTGCAATAGTGAACAAAAATTTATACAACCATGCATGAAAGAAATATTGGCCAATCATTAAGATGATAAGGTAGAAAAAAAAATTGGATGATGCGGATTTAATTTTTTCCTCCAATTTTAGGCCCATCAGAGGTTCCAAAAGCAAGGCACAGAAGCCAGTACAAGCATACTCGTACTTTCTGGGAAGAAGTGGAGGTAAGAACATTGAAATATTCTGAGATTACTTTACCATGTGATACAAAGTTGGTTGTGGGAGAGGGTCATAGTTATCAGAATGCCAATCTGTCTGTCTGTTTTCTGTTTGTACAATATTATAATATATGAAACAAGCAATGTATAAGAATACAAAAGAATTTTAAGAAAGGGTACTGTCAACTTTAGATAAAGGATAGAAATTTTAATTTATGAAGTATGAACATCAAACATTTGTAAAAATGTCTGAAAATTTCAGAATAGAGTGAAAGCCTGTAATTGGTACTCATTTCCTCCTTTACCACTTTATTCAAATGAATGTTACCTTGATATAATCTTTATTGCATAGAACCATCATGAATCTCTTTTATTATGATCAGATAGATATTTGAGGACTGACCCCCCCCCCCCCCCAACAACAACAACAAAAGATTGGCTTTGCCAATCAATTTAAAGGTGTACTCTGACATTTTGTTAATGTAACTATTTGAAAACCCTGAACAAAATTAAATTTTAGATGCATAATTACAAATTTAAATGCAAAATTTGCAATTTACAGTAACTAAGGTTTTTATTGTGCATTTATGAACTATCATGCTAGATTTTTTATGCATGAAATAATGTACATTGTACATGTATATGCTAGTTGATTGTAGTGTATAAATACTATAGCCTACCACTCGTAAAAGCTAAAAGCAGGTGACACATGTATTCCTTTGAAGTCTCTAGTTTATAATTACACAAACATGATATTTTTTGTATGAATGCAGAATTGGTCAATAATTCTTATATCTTTATTCAGCTTCTTAGAAATCTCCATCCAGAGAAGGGGTTGCTGGGAGAAGATGAAATGCTCAACACAGCAGCTAAAGAATGGAGACGGCAGGCAGAGTCTGCTTTGAATGTTCAGGAAGTATGTGACATGTTAGATTTTTTATGTTTTTTCTTGGTGATAAAAAGTGTAATATTAGGTATCAGTCATCTTTAATGAAATGGAATCAATAAACTGAATAGGTAAATTCATAAGTGTTTTTTTCTTAGTGATAAAAGGTGTAATATAAGCTATCAGTCTAGCAATAACTCTTCTTTAATAATATGGAATCAATAAACTGAATTTGTAAAGAATTCTTCTGTGGTGATATTATCTGTTAATATCATTTTATAAAGGGTCATGGAATTTGTAAAGAATTCTTCCGGGCTTGCTTCGGATGCTGAATCTGACCTACATTTTCCGGTTGAGTGAATAGTCAAAAGTTTTTGGTGCAGGTTTCATTTCCAAGGAACTATGAGTTCTTCTGTGTTGTTTCATTTCCAATAAACTATGAGCCCTATAATGAGCAAACTTGCATGGATGATACATCTAAGGATGCACACTTATCGACTTGCTTCGGAGCTGTGATATTTTTCTGTACATTTTTCAGGTCTATTTCAAAGTATCAGATCAAAATTGCTTTTAAAAATATTTTCATTTTTGTATCTGTGATCCAAGGGTCATCTTGGAGGTCTGCTGAAGGAGGCAATTGCAGTTGCGTGTCTCAGCCAGCGCTGTTTTCTTTGGGCCGAGTCTGTGACCAAGGCTTATGCTTCCTGGAAGCTGAAGAACCAGAGCAACAATAAAGTTAACCGTATGCTGTTCGTGCAACTCCCAGGTCTACGAGACGAAGAGATGGTGTTCCACCTGCTACAGTCGTTCAGGAGTGGGGAGCTGAACAAACTGGAGTTTAATGAGAAGTTGAAGGAAGCAAAGGTGAGTGAATATTTTTTTTCAGTAAAAAATTGTTGCTTCGTAAGAGCTTTCACTTTATAAAATACCTTGAAAGAGTGAAGCCATTTCTAATTTTGTGAATTGAGCAAATACAACGAAAGTGTATTTCAATGTATATTTGTTTAATGGACTTTTGGGCTTTAATACTGTCCATGCATATATTTAATCATATAATCACCAGAATGATACAAAAATGTATCATGATTACAAAGACTCGGTATGAATGTGACTTTTCTTAAATCTATTAACAGGTAGCAGCAAGCAGAGGGAAAAAAAGACAGTTGCCAGCATTAAATGACTCAGAGGTATTTTTAATGAAGAATTTTTTTTTTTTCAAATTATATATATATCATGGTTAATAAATAAAATATAAATATGTTTTCCAATTTTTAAAGAAATTGCAAAAAGTAGTTTAATTGATAAAGGGAGTTCTTGTTATGAATTATTGTGATTAATTGATTGATTTTAAAAGTATATTATGATTAATAAATAAAATATAAATATATTTTATCTAATTTTAAAGACGGACTCTGGAAGTTTGAAAAGAAGAAATGCCCTTCTTGAAGCCCGGATCGTGACCCTCCAAAGAGAGATGGCAGATCTTAGAGACAAACTGGTAGGTGGTTTTTGAAGCCACTTATTAAGATTGTAACAATAGTTTCTACATTTTCATTTTGTAAATAAACATCAGTGGTATTCTACCTAAATATTTGAATATGAAATAAATTGCTTTGAAAAGTAAGATATACTACTATGTAGATATATTATTAATAAATTTGTGTGAAATTTAATATTTTTTTTAAAAAAAATGTTTCAGAGAACACCCGAGACACCTGCAACGGATGTTTATGTAAGTACAGCTAGTAATAATCTCAGAATTCTTGTATAAATGAGTGAGAGTTTCAGTTAAGTCTATGCAATCTGATAGAGGTCATTCAAATATGACATCACATCGAGGAATGAGTTAACTATGTGCAC